AAAAAAAAAAAAAAAAAAAAAAAAAAAAAAAAGATTGCAGCCTCTCTTGTATCATTCAATCCTAGTGTTAAAATTAAAGCCCTTCTCTTCTTCCATCTTGTATACCCTTTTTCTGTAGTGGAAAGTTTTGACTGTTTTTGTTTTTTATATTGAAAGATTCTCCATGTAAGCTAGTGGAGAAGTGTGGCCAAGTTTCTCAAAAGCCTAAAGAAACAGGCCTTTATAACATCATCTTTGTATTTTATTTGTTTGTCCACTCCTCCTCTCTATAGGAGTGTTTGTCAATGCCAATGGAGTTAGTCTTTTGTGATTACCAAATTAAACTACAACTTATTTCCATGATGTGTTGCTAATGTACCCTTGGCCATGCTTTGAAAATGAGTCAAATTAAAAAGTTAAAGGTATGAAAGAAAAATGAAATTGTGTTTTGCTTTGGACTAAAAGATGCTGAGAAAGGGTTGCATGTGACTGGCTGACAGTACTATTTGTTTGCATTTCAACGTTTTTGGTAAAAGGGGTCCACTCCTTACACTGCACATTTCCAATCGCTTTCGTCTCCATCGTTGTATACCATTAAAGCCTGTGAACATGCGGTGCAAAAAGTGTAGGTCCCCTTAACCTTTCTCTCTTTTTTTTTTTTTTTTTTTTTTTTTTTTTTTTCCTTTTGTTTTTATTTATTTATTTATTTATTAACAAAGATATCTTTCAATTAGGGGTGTATTCAAGTATGATACGTCAATGGTTTGCTTAATTAGATAATTAACTAAATAATTACAAATTTAAGATAAGACTTGATATTTAAATGAAATGAGCTCAAGTTTTAAAATTTTGATATTTAAGAATTTGTGAATAATTCGTTTATATATAAAATATTTTTTTTATAAATAATGTCTTTAATACTATTTTTAGTTAAAATTTTAACACAGTTTAGAGTAAAAAGTAAATAAATCATGAAATTGTGACAGTTTGAAAAAAAATTAATTCTATGTATTACATGTTAAGCATACTTTTTCATTTGTAAATAATTAATTAGTATTAGGATATTAATTAAATGGTATATTCGTAAAGTTAAAAAGTAATTTAAGAAAAAAATAATTAAAAAAATAATTAAATTATAAACAAGTTAAAATTAAGGTTATTTTTTAAACAAGTCAACTTTAAGTTTTGAATTAGGTTTGATTAAATAAATAAATTAAGTTTAAGCAATCAATTTTTTTACGAAATCTAAGTTTTAAGAGCCTGAGTCGTTTACATCTTTTACTTTCATTTGATAATCAGAATTTTTTGTTTTTTTGTCTGAAACATCGAGATTACTAAACTAGATTTTCCCATAAAACTTTGTCCATATATAAAACTACGAACTTAAATCTCTTTCAGAATATTTATAGAACTTGGCTATCTATTAATTCATTTGAATTTTATTTTTTTTACTTTTATATAGATTTAGTAAAGAGGGATCATATATTTGAATAATAAGTTTCGTTCAATAACTTATACTTTATATCAAATTTTAATAATTTAACTGTTAAAATTAAAAGTTTTAATGTATAAATTAAATTTTAAATTTTTTAATACATATATATATATATATATAATTCTTTCATAATTATAAAAATATTTTATAATTATTCATCAATTTAAATAATTAAAAAATATTAAATAATTTTAAAATTTTAAAAATTTGTAAGACTTGGCTTATATATTAAATATTTTTAATTTAATAATCATTGAAATTTAATATAGAACATGTTTTAATCAAATTTCTTAGTAGATTATTATATCTTTCAAATATTAAGTAATAACTTCTCATGGTCTCTTCAAAGAATCACTCACAACCATTTATTCCATTTTTATTATTTTTACTAGTACTTTATCCTATATAATGCACAAACATCTTAATTATATATGATATAACTAAAATTTACAATAAATCATGTATAAAAGTATTATATTTGAATATATAAATTATATTTTAAATTTATGATAAATAATTTGTATTATAAAAATATATTTTTTATTTATTGATAATTCATTTTAAAATAATATTTAATTAATAAATAATTATGATAAATAAAAATGAATTAGATAATAGTTATAAAAATTCTTACAAAGTCTTTCGTTGAAAAAAAGTTCCTAAAAACATTCTCACACAAAATACATTCATATTTAATATATAGGAATTGATATTTTAAAATTTTAAGAGACACAAAGTGACTTTTCTTTAGTACCTATTATAAAGATGTACATGATGAATAATTATTTTTTATCTCTAGTGTTAGTGAAGCATTATACCTCTCATTTACTAAGAAAAAGATATAAAATAATAGCTCATATTTTCTAAGAAAATATCCACAACTACCCATTGAATTTATCTCTCTTTTTTTTTATAATTTTTAAAACGTAAGGTCATGTCTCTTTTCTCTAGTAGTATATACATCTATATACATTATAAAAGAGATACAAATTGTTGTAATTCTTTTTAGTTTTTCCTTTTAGTAGACTATTATATTCATAAAAAAAATTCTCTTAAATAACCAACGTCAACCACTTTTAAATTATCTTCCTTTAATATTTTTTTATAAAAAAATTAAGAGACACTAGGTATCTCTTTCTCCTACTAGTACATATAAGGGCATGACTCTTTTTGTTAACTTCTCATTCTTTTTAAATTATTTTATTCAAACACTACAATTACTATTTATAAAAATAAGTATCTTTTTTATATTATACATGAAGTAATTACTTTTGATCTTCATATTTAGTAGACCATTATACCTTTTTATTATTAAAAAAAATAAATTAATCTTTTTTTGTAACCACCATTCTCTTTTAATAATTATTAAAACCTATGATTATTCATATTTTCAATTAACTATTTATTATTATTATATAATTTTTAATTATTTTTAAAAGTTTCAAGGAGACAAGATTCGTTATTTTATTATATATTAAAATTGAAAATAGAAACTTTCAAAACATGAGAGAGAGAGAGATTGGATTAACCGCAAATTACTGAGATGTTATATGGACACGTGTTCAAGCTTTTTTATTTTTTATTTTTATTTTTTAAGTAGTGTTCAAAGCTTTAGTATTGGTGTGAAATAGATACTTGGTCGGTAAGTGTTCAATTGGGTATTTTGTATCCTTAATAGATTTGGTGACAGTTAAATTTTGTTAATCAAATCATTAAATTATGCAACAATCTTATATGTTAAATTTTACATAGTTAAGACAGATCAAATTACATTTTTATAACGATTGTTACATTATATTAAATAAACATATAAAATATGATTTTTATCGATTCAATTATTAAATTGTAATTATTTATTTTCTTAGTTATTTGTACCAAGTTTTGTCAAAGTTAAACAACAATCGCAAGATGTATGAATGTGATATGAAATAGTTTTAGACTAATATAATTTTTTTATGCATAATCCATATGGAAAAAAAAAAATTAACATTGGATTTTCATCGATTTATTCTACGCACTTGGAAAGCATTGATTCTCATTCTTCCAGATTTTTGTTTCTTCTGTTGCAAACCAAGCACAATTCCTGATCAAGTAGTGTGCTAGGAGCAAAAACCATTATCGGTTTTCATTGAAAAAAATGAATTAGGACAAGTTTCATCCGGTAATTTTAATTTGTGTTGTTGTTTGTATCAATGATTTTCTGATTATTGAATTTTCAAATTTTTTATGTGAGTTTGAGTGAGATATTTTGCGACACTATTTGAGAACAAAATGACCACAACTTTAGACATAATTAAAGGTTAAAACTGTAATACCATGATTTTTTTAATTATGAATATTTATTATATATATAATTAAGATTTTTGTTATATGTTATTTTAAGTTGTTTGAGTTGTTGTATATAATGTTTTGTCTCTGAAGGGTGAGAGTTAGAGTTAATGACCCTAGGTTTAAGTTATAGAAATTGTGACTTAAGTGCTTGAAAATGGATCCAAGGAAGACCAAGATATAGAAGGTGAATTTTGAGAAATGAGTTTCATAAATTTATTTTTTAGCTTCCTAGAGAGAGATTTCTTAGAGAGATAAAATTTGGAGCTAGATTGTCTGTTCATTGATTTGATTCTGTAGAAAGTTTTCATAGGTACCCTAAGACTTAGTTGAGTAGCAGTAGTAGAAAGCTGAGATTAAAGCTAACAAACTTTTATTCTTAAAGAGAAGGTGAACCTCGAGTTCTATGATTTTGCCCTTCTACCTTGATTTCTATGGTTTTGAATGCGATTAAGATAAAAAAAAGTTTGATTGTAGCTTATATAAATTTTATAAGCGTGGTTGTGTTTGTCTATAACTGAATTGATGGATGCATGTTGAGAATTTGAGTTTATGTTGTTGGGACTTTCAATTGTTCTTGGGGTTGAAGAGGAATCTAATGACTTAAGTTGTAATCTTGTTACATGTGAGATTCCTACTCTTTCCTAAGTTGAGAATGATGTGAAGATGTGTTTTTCTGAGTTTCATGTGTTGGTGGTGGAGTGTGGTGGTTAAATTTGAAGAGAGATGGCAAGTTCCATAGTGGAACTCTACTCACTTGCCAAAAGAGAGGTACATCTCGCCTGACACACCTTCATAGTTGACGAACACTAACCCATAGTTCTTGTTCTCGCTCAATGATATGATTGTTGCTCTGCAAGAATATGATTTTTTGGTGGCTTTGTTGGATAAGTTCACCCAACGAGATGTGACTCGCTTAGCAAAAACCCACAGAGTCTAGCTTTTTTGATGAGCTATAGTCTCTCAATGACAAGTTCCAGAGGAGTTTGGTTGCCTAGCGAGCTAAAGCCCACCCAACGAGATG